TTTAGATGTTACTAGCATACCTTTGAGTATTTTTTAAAAAGCCAGAATTTGTATATACATGTGAATATTTACCTTTACTGAGATATTAGATTTTTTTAGCAATACATACTGTATAAATCCTAACAACTGTTCTAACGATAACAAATTGGATTAATGAATTTGGTACAGCCCTCAGTGCAAATATGCAGGAGTGGAAAAATAGAAATGGAGAGTCTAACACCCGCTCCATAGACCTAAATCAACATACGAGAGTAACATGTCTCTATAAATGCTCTTGTAAATACGCTTTTCGTGCATAAAGATAAAAACATACAATATCGATATGTCTATGTAGAACAAACATGATTATATTTATTTCATTACTTTATTATGAATATAATATTATTACGCAAAAAAACTACATCTACCCACAGATAACATAATACTAGATATGACTGAACACTTTAACGTATTGTTTTTGATAGTTTTTAATGCTATTTATAAAATACTCTATTTAAATGAAATATAAAATAATCGATGTATTGGAAACAGCAACATAAGGTATAAAAAACTGGTGTATAGCCGGCGCGAGGCGCGAATCGCGGCCGCCGGCAGGTGGCTGAAATTACCGCATTTGTTACACGTTTACACGAAACTGTATCAATATTTCATGTGGATTTACACTGGAGCTATCGCACTGTGCATTTCACTGTCCTAAAATACACATTACTTTATAAATAAAAATTTCAATAACCTTTAAGTTTAAATTACATGTAATTAAAATGCATATAATTAATAAAAATAATAATACTAGTGCACAAACGAATACATAATATATTTTTATGAAATCTAAAAACAACGTAATATAATATTCATTTTGTGATTTTATTGTTTTAATTTTTTTTTTCAAATTTAAATTTTATTGGAAGTAACAGAGAGTATTCACTTAGCCAGTTTAATACATTAAAATTTTAACTTTATAAAACTTCATTTGTCATACTTAAAACTCTTTCAATAGTTTACTCAGAAAAGTGCTTTTTGATATTTCCCATTAGTCGTATAAAGTATTATTACAATGAAACTGCAGCACTGAATCCTCACAATGACAACTCACTCAAACGTAAACGCGAACTATTTCCATAAGAAAGGCATTGCGAAAGTTTTTCAATTTTAAAGTGACGCAGGTATGATGCGAAACTTTTGCTTGGGACGCGCCATTTTTGCGGTTTTGTTCGCAGTTACTTAAAATATCATTACATTAAATAATTAAATGCACTTTCTATTTTTTTTTATCAATAAGTCTAGTTTCTACTTTTAGATTGTTTTATTGGAATAATCAATAAATATTTAATCACACTAATATTAAAATGCGAATGTATTCATGATTGAGTATCTACACTTTATCATGCTGAATTCATATCAACGGATTCGAATGAAATTCGGAAGCGAAACAGCTGTACAACTGTTGTGATATGTACCTACCATGCAATGAGAGCCGCGGGGCAAAAGTAGTAGTAAAAACTTATTTATTATAACGAGCACGTTAGATTAGGCTAAAATAAATACGCATAACGTTTTTAATGAAATATAAATATTATTCAAAAATTTTACATCTCTATCAAAATATAACAACAGCCAAACATTTCGTTGGTAGAAAGATTTTTCTTAAATTGATAGGTTTAGTGGCAGGTCTGGCGGCACGGACGACATTATGCAGCATCACGCCGGGATCAGGGGGATTGTTTCCTAAAACAGGATCGAGTGGCAACAGTGCCTGAATTAAACGAGAATCACATCCGAGCACTTGCTCGTAATCACGTCACATCATGTCGCTACACCCAACCGTTTTATTTTTCCTAATCATAATATTTTTTTAGATTGTTCATAATAATATCTATACTTTTATATCATATATTTTTTTGTATAAATATGTTGGGACATTAAGACACAGCGCCATCTAGTTCCATGGTAAGCTACGAGGTTTGTGTTATGGATACCAGATAGTTGATACACTACACATATATAACTTTAAACACATACATATTATAAATGTAAAAACACCCATGACTAGAGTACAAATATTCGTGCTCATCACACAAATTAATGCCCCCAGCGGGACTCGAACCCGCGACCGCTGGCATAGCAAGTAGGATCACTACAAACTGAGCCAAACATGTCGTCAACATGACAAGAACACTATCTTTAATGTTTTTTAAATAATCATTCAAATATTTTCTGCTAACATTACACATAGATAGCTACAGTGGTAGTCTACTATTAGCCTTTATCAAAAGTCAACATAGAATTGATCACTTCGACAATATTACTCGTATCAAAAAAACGCCAGCGTGTTGCCCTCGAGGCTTACATTTATCAGCTCAATAAAACTTTCGATGGAACATTCCGTCACATCAAATATGATTTCATTGCCCTTCATGAACTCAAGGAAAATATTTTTATGCGTCAACTACTCTCAGACATGTACAATTTTTCAAATTATGAAATAATAAATAAAATATTGAAATAAAATCTAAGAAGATTATAATATATTAACTTACTTGAAACTGCTGTATTATCTGCTGATGATACAACATGATGACACAACATGCTGTATATCTGTAAGAGTAAACTTAAAGCAAGAGTTTGTTGCTCTGTGTATTTTAAAATAGTGTAAAAGCCATATTAGCCCATACATGAACTAATATAGCTATAATAATAAACATACACGTTTTTAATAGGTCCGACTTTTTTATAGGGTAAATAATCTTTACTTATGACAAAAAAACAAAAATCTAACCAAATGTCCACATCAAAAATGTATCTGTATTATAATAATAACGAGTATTAACAGTAATTAAATATAACAAAATATAACCATTCTAAAAGAGTACTGGCAAAATACGCAAGTTTAAGAACTATAAAACCTTGTTCCAAACTATATTTACATTCATATACATTTTGGAAATCGATTATTTCCAAAAAGGAGGAGGTTTTCAATTCGTCGAAATGTTTTTTTATGTATGTTCACCGATTACTCGAAGACGCCTGAATCGATACAGATTTTTTTTTGTTTCAAAGGGTATACTTCCCAGGTGGTCCCATTAAAATTTTATCGAAATCGGTCGAGCGGTTTTGAATATATTTTATAATATCAACAATTTTTTTTTTAAATGAATCGCTTAATCGAATATGTTAATAAAACTTTTTCTTCTTACGAATTACCTGCATATTACGTGTAGGTACACAGAAAACTGAACAATAAATTTAAAAAAAAACCGACTTCCAGGCACTAAAATGTAAAAAATAACTAAACGGGGGTTTTTATTTAGAATAGATACCTAATCAGATATTTTCGTACCTCTCGCAAGGATGAAACGTGTATTTCTCCGACTACATAATACTATATTCCTTCGTCAACTTGTTTTCATCTTCTTAGTTAGCTTTTATGCATTTTATAGTTTATTTTGGTATAAATGATGGTCTGTTGAGCCAATTTGGTGTTAAAGCCACGAATACAACAAAAACAGTAAAAAAAACATAATAATTACTTCTTCACATTGATATTTTTAACAATTTATATAGTTTCTCAATCTATGCATTTGTTACATATTATATTTTAAATATTCTATATACATATCGTATTTAATAAATAAAGGTTTATATGTCGGGTGCACTTTATAAAATGACTACTGTGTAAAATGTATCATAAATAAATAGCTTTACATGCAGATTTTTATTAATATTTATAGAAAGAAAAAAGTTGGCAACACATAATAAATTGATATATGCAAAACACTCTGTTGTAACGTACAAGCTCGAAATAACCACATTATTCATTCATAAAGACGACGTAAGAGCTAACCTGTGTTGTGGCGATATTAGTTTGTTCATGCTGTCTGTCAACCAGTAATAATATATAATACAAAGGTATGTATTATATAGTTATAGTCAAAATTCATCATATTTTAGATAATTAGACGTATTCAAAATATCCCATGCAAGCTTCTCCATATAAATTTTTCACCCCATTAATTTGTTTGAATTACGAAAACCCTTTTCTATTTTTTTATTTTAATCACAGTTAATATATAAAATAGCTCCAAATATTTGTTGACATTCGCAGATAATACTTTTAGATTTACGCGAAGATTGGACATTTTAAATAAAACTATCGTTTCGGATTTTTTCGCGGGTTTATTTTGACGTTTGGTTCCCGACGTTGTGCATCGAAGATAGCAAATTTTTTGAATTGCTCAATATAGGCAACTTCACATATGTATATAATATACAATAGATAGATCATTGGAAAACATAACAAAATTTTAGATTTCAATTTACAGAGTCAAAGAAAAGCCGAATTTGACCGTTTTCACATATAAACGAAAACTTTGTTAAAGTTTACCTCTAATTTAAGACCGGGTGACAGTTAGGTCAACGATGACAGAGATATACAGATGCAGACCACAGATACATTTCCTTTTATTTTCAACTATTCACAGCTTTTGTGATTAAAATATATTCGTAATATATTAGACCATTTTATTTATAATAGTAATCCATTAACACGAAATATTGAAGATTTTTTAATTATTATAATAGAGGATAGTTGCCTTAAGTACTCGATTTGATTTAAATGTTATTTTTAAACGTTTAATGTGTAAACATGAAATTGGATAATTGTAAATTTACCAAACTAATTTTAATTCTAATTTAGCTGCCAGTAAAAAAAAATAAAAAAAATAATATAATAATAATAAAACCAATAAAACCTTACAATAACACTCAAACTATAGGTATAACATAACTTAAAATATTATTTATTAACAAAAAATACTTTATGTAAACATACATAACGTATGTATACGAGTATATGTTAATTAAGTTAATCAATTATATAGCAATGTGAGATAATCACAGATAGCTAAATTATTAAGTAAATTATGAAGGCGCCAGTTAATGATAACGTTAACTGGAATTCATAATAAAGAAGGGCTCAGCTGTATCTGGAGCACATCCGAGTTATGTCCCGCACGAGACAGCAACTGATTAAAAATGCACCACTTCAAAACGAAGCGGATTCGGCATCGTCGACGCTCGCGCACACTGCTTCCAGTCTCGTCACGAACTTGCCCTCGGGTGGACATTGGACCGTATTTAAACGTGGAAATAGTGACTCTTTACCAGATTGGTATTTCTAGTGTTATAATTATAAATACCTTACAAACAGACAAAAAGTGGAATTAACATATTAATATTTCATTAAATATATACGATGAAGTTACAAAGTGAGTTACTATTCAGTGTAAATAGGACACCGCCAATTTACCTAGTTTCATTTAAGCTATTGCCGTGATTCTGTCTTTATTTTTGAACATCGGCATCAGATCGATTCGAGCGCGGCAATTTATAAAACAAAAACGTAACTAGCAAAAGGCAGGAATGCAGCGAACATTGGTATTTTATTTATGTGGAAAGCTCGGCGATATCCGTTCTGGTTCTATTTTCGCACTATATCGTTTATGACTGGGGCCAAGAGCGCAACGCTGAGGGCGCCCCGCGCGGGAGTCGCTCAGGCCACTCTGCCTGATATTATATTCTAGAGCACGCCCGCCTTGCTTCACTTCGCGCCAGATATTTTAAGTGTTGCTTCTAGCACCTATGAATTTATCTAGTCTCAGTCATATCACTCGCCCGGTGCAGCCGTCTGCATCGTTAAGAACGGCCTTTCATTATTAATTCTATACACAACTTACTATAAATTATATACATATATGTATATTTGGTCAAAGTCCTACATTGTGCAGTTTATTTAAAAAAAAAACAAATACTTTATAATTTAATATTATCCAATTTTAATTACTTAAATGTAAAACAAATATCAATTTCTAAAAATATACAAAAAATATTTCTCGCACTTTTTTATTTTATATTAACTTTGAAATTTAGATTTTTTCTTATATTTATATATGTGAAATATTGGGTTAAGGCATAAACATCTTCAGCAATGGCTATATCCACTTTGAAGTGCCGGCCATTGTATTGACGTGAAAAGCTTCAACGACAAAGGCAGTGACATACCCCGCAGCGACTACCATATAGGTAACTAGGCCCCACACATGTAAAATTATATAAGGTTTTAATTATTTTACAATCTAGAAAATTTTACCCCCCTTTCTTAACGTAGTTAACGATAAAATCTTTATTTATAATTTTATACTTACGAATAAAAAAATATACCAGTTTAAAGAAAAAAAAATCTAAAATAGAAACATTTCTCTTAAAACATCTATCGATTGAAATAACACTTGAATTGAAAATAGCATCAAAGAGCAGATAGTAGGATTGCACAAATGCAGTTTGCCGTTAGAATAGATTTGAAAGCCCATATTAATACACCGTATAGGTTTTACATTCATTTGTTGACCATAATGGAATTGTGTTGTATATTTATTTACATTTTAATATCAACTGATATACATCCATACTAATATTATAAATGTGACAGTGTGTTTGTTTATTTGTTTGTCTTTCTTTTACGTCGATCTTGAGAGACGGATTGGCGTGATTTTTTGTGTGGAAATAGTTGGATGGCTGGAGAGTGACGTAGGCTACTTTTTATCGCGGGATATTATCTAATTCCCACGGGAAAACACGTTTAATACAATTAAAAATAAATATTTATGATCAGAATTACTTGAAATTCATTCTATAAGGGTGTAAAATAGGGGATGAAAGTTTGTATGAAACTACCTTTTTAGAGATTTTTTTGTAGTTTTAGCGCGAGCGAAGCCGCGGGTTCTGCTAGTAAATTATATAAATAAAGATTTATTAAAGTATACCTTATAGTAGTGTAGTATTTATTACATATTGTATTATTTTTATTTATTATTCTATTTCAAAATCTTCGAGATGAATTAAAAAAATGGTCTTAAAAAGTAATATTTATTATTATGACGTTAGGTACTATTTTTTAACATTTTTACTTTTGTTTACCTTTAAAAATAGTTTACATTTAATCTTTAAAGAAATGAAACACTCCTAAATAATATCACCTAAAATTACTCTAAATTTGTTTATTATATACTATTTATATATAATGAAAAAAATATTTTTTTATTGTTTTTTGTTTATTTGAACTCGCTAATATCTAGAACTGATTAGACAATTTATTTTATTAGTTTTATTTTTGTATATACTTAACGTCACTTTAAACCTTAGGAATGAAGTAAAAATACGTAAATAAACTGTCGGCAATTAAAGTACCTAAATACGAGTATACCTTTAAACATTAAATTATTATTAGCAATAAAATATAACGTTGTATCTTTAGATGTGTTGACAGTCAGCTCAGTGAACCGCCATTTTTAATCCCATCTTAATCTGCACAGGTAATTTCTTATAACTAGCGGCTCACCCTCGCTTCGCTCGGGTTCGTCGCTAGGTACGTTTTAAATAGATATAAAAAGAAAAAATCTTTCTTTCTCACATTTTAATTATATGTTTTAATACTTACCTATTCCGGACTAAGAGAAATCCAAAAATTAAAATATCATAAAAATTGGAACGCGGTCGAACGGGATAAAAAGTATCCTATGTCCTTCTCCTGGCTCTAAACTACCTCCCTGCCAATTTTCAGCTAAATCGGTTCAGCCGTTCTTGAGTTATAAGCGAAGTAACTAACACGACTTTCTTTTATATATATAGATTTTAACATTCTGATCTATATATATAAAAGAAAGTCGTGTTAGTTACTTCGCTTATAACTCAAGAACGGCTGAACCGATTTAGCTGAAAATTGGCAGGGAGGTAGTTTAGAGCCAGGAGAAGGACATAGGATACTTTTTATCCCGTTCGACCGCGTTCCAATTTTTATGATATTTTAATTTTTGGATTTCTCTTAGTCCGGAATAGGTAAGTATTAAAACATATAATTAAAATGTGAGAAAGAAAGATTTTTTCTTTTTATATCTATTTAAAACGTACCTAGCGACGAACCCGAGCGAAGCGAGGGTGAGCCGCTAGTCTATACATATAATAAAATTGTAACTAAGCCGAATCTGTACATTAAATATTTTTTGGAAAATCTTATTGAAATAGACATTATTATCGATACAGAGTCCGAATCTTTAGTTTTTAGAATTTTTGTCTGTCTGTCTGTCTATCTGTCTGTTACCGCATCACGAGAAAATCACTGGACAGATTTTGATGAAATTCGGTATGATCATAGTTGGTTATTCGGGTCAACATATAAGATACTTTTTACCGCGGGAAAATATCTCATTTCTGAGAAAAAATACAAAAACTGCAATGTAAGAGTATACTAATATGTAAAACCTAAGAATTTGGTTTTTAGTCATCTGAACGCGGGCAGAGCCGCGGGCAATGCTAGTCAACAATATAGATTGTAGAAAGTCAACTTTGGGATGTAAAATTACTTCTGGTGTTGTATAATTACAAAAAACTTATCAGTTACTACCATTATCAATACAAATTTCATACAACTCACTTTCTTCCCATAAATTAGTTGAGGTAATATTCCTCTGTGCAACAATATCATTACGCCAGTCGAAACGTTTAAGAAGTATTTTTGGAAAGGCCTTCATAACAGGCATTCATTAGTCGTTGTTCGTTGCTGCAGTGTTCATTAGTAGTATTCTACATTTTATTTTTTCAAATATTTTGTTTTCTCCTATTTATAAATAAAATAAAATGTATATCCCAAAGTTTTCAAATTTAATACGAATGAATTTTAGTGCATATAGTGTTTTTAAATTCTAAAATTCCATAGGTCGATTTTCGAGTCGAAATAGTACGTGGTTTTTTTGTGTTTTTTTAACCAGCTCGATTTTAGGCATGGAGATTGCTCTTGTATTTGAGAACAAATATAATCGTCTCCTGTGCACATGGTAAATCGTAGAGAGATTGACCACAGTTTTTAATATATTAATACGTTGGGACATTAACACACAGCACCATCTAGTTCCATGGTAAGCTACGAAGCTTGTGTTATGGATACCAGATAGTTGATACACTACACATATACAAACTTTAAATACATACATTTTATAAATATAAACACTCATAAACAACACATTCGTGTACATGTGCGTACAAACATTCGTGCTCATTACACAATGAATGCCCCCAGCGGCAGTCGAACCCGCGACCGCTGGCACAGCAAGTAGGGTCACTACACACTGAGCCAAACGTGTCGTCATATACCATGCAGTGACTATAATAATTCGGTCAGGAGGTCTTTTTATGCCGGGAGTTCCCAGCACAGTAGAATAGATTCCTGCTAATTCTTACCCAGATGCTGTAAAGCGCGGTTCCTTCAAGCTAACTTGAAAAAGTTGAGACAAAATTTGTTCAGCATAAAGTTTAATTAACAGCAAAAATTTTGAGGTAGAAGGTATGTTTATAATAACTGTAAAAAATGGATTAGTCACTGTAGCTTACTAGGATAATGCAAAATTTAGACTTGATGTAAAACCATTAATTAGTATGATTTTCAAAGTTGGGCAAATCTAGAACTAACGTAAAACAGCATTACGCCCTAATTTTTAAAGTGATCGTTAATTAATAAGGCCTAACATTCTGCACTATTAGAACTTTTACACAGCACTCGAAGCAATAAGCTATTAAAAAAAACCAGTCTTTTAAAATCATTTCAAGAGAGAATTAGTAGATCAGCAGTATTTGACAGCATCTCAGCTAATCCATTTGATATGTGCAGAGGCGTACTATATTGTGGTACGCCAAAAAGTTGCTTTTGGCGATGAGCAACAGCATATCCACTTTTTTTTTTGCATTTTAGGCCCTTAAATAACGTTATACAATTTTTCTGTATCTCGGTAATAATTTTTAATTTGACTACGTTTTGTTTGCCCGTGATCTTCGTGCACATGCTTGCGACTTGTCCTATGTGCCAATTAATGGCAAAATTAACATAGAACATGTCAAAACGTCTCCGTAATTTTATAAGATTACTGACATAGACGTAACTAAAAAACTTTACCATTTAAAACCCGTAAAAAAATGGCACTAGTTAGAGCAATTTACTACTTGTTACAAATATAATTAATATTTAAATTTTACAGTTACAATTTAATAATATAACAATTCATCTCAACGATTTCTTTTATAATTAAGTGAATTCATTAATTGGTACTAATCATGACAAATTTTAGCGGAAAATATATAGTACCTAACAACATAACAAAAGCTATTGTAATGAACTTAAATTCATTTCAAATTAATAATATTCGTGTTATTAAAAAATGTACCAAAATATATCCTAAAATTAATTATAAATTGCAAATCAGATTTTATTATCCTATTTTACTCAATAATTTTATAATTTGACGTTGTTTTAAAATCATCAAATCTATACATATTATAATAAAATTCTGAATCGAATCTGTACACAATATATATTTGGAAAATCTTATTGAAGTAGTCATTTTTATCGATACCGAGGCCGAATGTATAGTTTTTAAAATTGTCCGTCTGTCTGACAACGCATCACGAGAAAACCACTGGATGGATTTTGATGAAATGTGGTATGATGATAGCTGGTTATATAGGTCAACATATAGGATAGTTTTTACTGCGGGAAAATATCTCATCTTTGAGAAATCTACACTAAACGTTAAAACGTAACTAGGGACGAACGTGAGCGGAGCGAGGGTGAGTCGCTCTCGCTAGTATAGATATAATTTATTACCGATACTATAAACTAGATGGCAGCATAATTGTGTGCTCATAAGTATATATTGTTATTGACAAGGGTGTATGGAAAAGACAGTGATATTAATGGATGGTACCTGCACTTTATCCGTAAAGTTTACTTTAACACGATCGACACCTGCATCGAAAAAGCGTCGTTAATTTTCGAGAAAGACAATCACCTTACGGGTCGTACTTCTTGTTGTCCTGAGTGCATAGTCAGCAGGATACATGAGTAAGCAAAGTTGAATTTAAATAAACTAAAAACTACACACATACACTGCTGAGGATGAAATATATATATATCATGGTTAATTCGTTCATGATATATATATATATATATATATATATATATATATATATAAGTAACTTATACTATTTCAAAAAGGTCAATATGACTTAGAATAATCTGCCAATTAGCACGCTAGACAGCTCAATTTATCTTAAGTCATAAAAAAACTTATTAATTCAGTTGGAATTACACGAAAGGACAATATAAAATCCCAACCGTTGAATTTTAAAGTACGAGTGTCAGCCACATGTATCGTAAACATTTGGCTCGTTACTTGAATTAATTACTTAATTAAATACTCCAGGTTTTTAAAAGTTGAAATGAAAAAAGATAAACACAATTTTTATACGCTTAAAAAACACAATATTCATATTAAATATGTTCTTCTTGTTTTATGTTAGTATCGGTGGTAATTATTTTTAATCGTATTTCATACTAGCACTGCCCGCGGCTCCACCCGCGTTAAGATTACCAAAAACCAAATTCTTCGGTTTTACATATTAGTATAGCCTTACATTGCAGTTTTTGTATTTTTTCTAAGAAATGACATATTTTCCCGCGGTAAAAAGTATCCTATATGTTGACCCGGATAACCGATTTTCCGTGATGTGCTATACAATGCTAGTTAAACTATAAGTTTGTTATATACCGCATTGTTTATCTACATTTAATATAAACTTTATTACAGCTATATTGTAAATTTAAAAGAAAAGAAATTCTACGTAATGAGAGTAGAAGATACAGCAACTGAAGGCATTCGAGGGTGGGAATGCACACCAACAGGAGAACCAGCACCTCGAGATGTAGCATCAAATCCAACTTACTCTGTCGGTTGCTTGCCTGAATGGGTCACTAAAGGTTGGAGACGAAACACTCTATACGGAATTGTAATATTTTTAATGGTGCTTGTATTTTTAAATATTGCACTAACGCTGTGGGTCATCAGCTCATTAAATTTAACAGCGGTAAGTCATATTCCTACAACAAGTTTAATAAAACTGATGCTATTGCTATCAATATCATATTATTTTCTAATATTCTGGAAATATTCTACAGAGAGGAATTGGTCCTATAACTATAGTGAAGGATGGTATCCGCCTAGATGGACAAGCGTGGATGGTAGACAGACTCGTTGCATCGACAATATCTTCACAGCCCGTTCAGTCTATCACCTTAAACTCTTACCGTAACTTCACCATCCTTGTCTCGGATCCCGACCATGAAGAACACACTAAACTATTAATAAGTTAGTACATCTTTTATTTTGTTCAAGTAATTGATATGTTATTTATAATACTTTGATCTTATATTTGTTTTAAAACCGCTTCTTTAATATACTAATATATAATCTTTACATCTATATATCCGCTATGTATTATTGTCTAATCTTGCTAATCCCATACTAATATTATAAATTTGAAAGTGTGTTTTTTTGTTTGTTTGTTTTTCCTTCTTTCACGTCGAAACGGATTAAATTTGAAAAAAAATATAAAATATAAAATTGAAGTCATATAAAATATTATCGATTTCTTTATATAGAAATAGTGCAATTGGAAATAGTAAATTAGTAACTTAAACATAAGCTACAATATAATTTTTCTAGTATCTTACAAAAACATAATAATACTAGGAACACGCGATGTAAAATTCCTATAAGATAAAACTAGAGAGATCAAAGTACTTTATTAAAAGCTTAATGACAAAAACCCTGCAAGCTCCGCTTTTTTTTTAATTACAGCACACAAAAGATTACTCTTTAATTGTTTTAACTTCAGCTTCATCAAATATGTAATATGTACGTAAACTGATTTTCATGTTAAATTTCTAGTTTAACTTTTAAAATATAGGTCTGAATAATACTTTCTTAGATTTACGCGAATGTTTGACATTTTTAAATAAAACTATCTTTTCGGATTATTTCGCGGATTTATTTTGATTTTTGGTTCCCGACGTTTCGAATGCTTTGCAGCATCCATGGTCACGGGAGAGACTGAGGTGTTACATGTCTTGAAGGTATAGTTGTTACACGTTACAGTTGGTACGTCGGGAACCAAAAATCAAAATAAATCCGCGAAATAATCCGAAAAGATAGTTATATTTAAAAATATAGGTCTGAAATTAAATTAAATATACTTATTTCAGAAAGAGATAGTGTAGAATGTAGTGGTCGCGTGTTTGAAGTGCGCGATGCTAAAGGAAATGACGTATTTTACGCATCTCGCGAAGAGGTGCGTGTCTTTGCGGAAGCTCTAGCGGTAGACGGCACAGGAGGTATCAACGTGAAAAGTGCAGTCCAAGCACCAGTAGTACGTGCCCCGCCTGGTTCTGACTTACAGTAAATATTATCTTTTATTTATATTACTGAAAAGAGTATAACACAGTTGACTTTTTAAAATAATTCTAGCAATTTTATAAACATATTTAAATTTCACTATTTTAGATAAAAGATAGATAGAAGGTATTATAGTAACCATATTAAATTTCTTATAACAAGTTAGATCATTACCAGAAACACATAAAAAACTTATATATAAATAATCTTAAATATAAATTATAGGGGGCTTATTAAAATATATAACTTTTTCATTTATTAACTATATATCGCTTAATACTTCAGACTTTTAAATAATGATAATTGGATCTACAATTTTATGTACATAGCCCGGGCGCAACCAAGGTGAACATGTTAAAATAATACCTTATGTATTTTGATATTTTCAGATTAGAATCTCTGACACGACGGCTTGACTTGAGGGCACCACAATCTATATTTTTGGAAAGTAGAGCAGGCAGCATCGACGTAACTTCACATAGCAACATTAAGCTAAACTCCATAGTTGGAGGGGTGAGTCTAACTTACTATTACAACGAATAGTAATGTCGTTAGCGAAATGTAATCTTTACATACTATAAAATAAAGTCGCTTCCGCTGTCTGTTCACTGAGATCTTTTAAACTACTCAACGGATTTTAATGCAGTTTTCAGCAATAGATAGATTCAAGAGAAAGGTTTATATGTATAATACATGCATATTATACTCGTAGTACAGAAAATCCGAGAAATTCCAAGATTTTTATTTCACACTAAATGTTGAAACGTATCTAGGGACGAACCCGAGAGAAGCGAGGTTGAATCGCTAGTATTTGAATATAAATAGTTCGAGATATTTTTTATTTCTTTTATATTCCAATATCTACTTGAAACGTACTACCTAGTTAATCTAGCTTATTATTGTTATTTTACTCAGTCCTTCAGTCCGTTTATACGTTTGTATGTATATCACAGTGTGTAAACCGCTTTCAAATATAATTCTTCAGTCAAATAAAATAAAATTCGAATAGAAATTGTCCACAACTCTCTCTTTACTCTTTGTTCTTTTACTTTACCTTTTTTAAATTATCTTTTAAACGCTTTATTTAAATGTATACAATTTTATTATCTTATTTACCATAATGAATTATGTACATTAAATTACAGATAAAAATTGATGCTCCTAATATTATACTTAATAATCTAAAAGTGGCGTCAACGACCGAAAGTCCACAGAAATATGTGAGAGGAAAGAAAGTCTACCAATTGTGCGCCTGCGCTTCGGGAAAATTGTTTTTAGCAGCACCAGATGCAATATGTACTATGCAAGATAACGATATAGAATTATGCCGATGATATTCTAATTAATGTTTGATTTGAATATGTTTACAATGTAAATTTTACCATGTTATGGAAAAGTATACACTTCAACAATGAAATTATGGAATATGTCAAAAAATCTCTAAGAATTATTTGCCATTTCATTATTATAATTAAACATTTGAAGTGCAAAGCAAGAGTTACGTCCTTATAACAATGGCAGAAATTATGTGTAATGAACATTATTTGGTATATTAGGTACTTACTCTAAATGAGTATTGAAATGTACGAAAAACTAGGCTGATAAAAAATCTACCAGTGGTATCAGTGTAAACGTCTTGATCTATTCTCATTTATTTTATAAGCTACGAAAACTATTTGCATTTATTTTTATCAAGAAATATGTATTAGGAAATCATCTACATCTTTAAAAATTTTTAGGTCGCTATAGTATAGTAGTTTTCAACGGATTCTACTTGTGATTGTACTTTGTATTTTAGGTTATTTGTGAACTCATTCTTTCAAATACTATTATAATGTGCCTTAGTCAAAAAGAGACAAACCAGATTATGATACAGCTGAAGACGTTCATTGTATTATTAACCAACCAACAATTAAATTATATCAAATATAATCAAAATATTTAATTCAGCATTAAATTATAACAATTTTTTACTGAAAGTCATGAGTCTACTACCACTTCGGAAAGAAGAAGCCTCAGACCTGAGAAGAACTGACGAAAGAAACTCAGCGGGACTAATATTGACTTGTTAAATATCATAATCACCCCACAAGTACTGCATTTGAGCTTAAGATTCTCCCCTTTGGTGAATGAACTTACGTTCCTTTCATTCATCTTACGACAAAACTTACAAGAAGTCCCTCGGTCTATCTGTCTGTCTATCTGTTTGTCTGACTGTCTGTCTTTCAACACACTTTTTCTCAGGAACGCGTACATCACGTTGAAATTCATATTAAATACTTAAATCTGCAATTCCTTGGAGCTGTGGAAAAATCAAACTTCTATGTCGATGCAATCAAAAGATACGACCTTTTATGCCTCATATTTGGCACCCTTGACATAGAATCATGAAATTTGACAAAAAAACAATGTCTTAAAGCACAAGAAAATGGAAAAATCCAAAAACCGTAAATTTATAGTTACATCACAAAAAGAAAAAATAAATACGATTGTAAATTTATTTTAATGTTCCATGCTACGAAAACCTCGGTGTGCGAATCAGACTCGCATTTGTCCGATTTTTATTTTATTCGACAGTTAAAAGATTAAATCTAATTAACATAATTTCAAAAAAAAACAAATTTCATATATATATGCCCTACTCTATTTACGTTATCGTGCTTTATTATTTGGAGAAAATCTACTTGATTATAGAGTCATTGCAGTTAGTGCCAAAACCTTAAAATAAGCGGGTATGTACATAATATTTAAGATATAATTATTATATATTTTATTTATTTATTATATATTTTATACAAAATCTACATAAAGATGCATTCCAAAAAACCGTTGCAAATTATAATAGGTATAAAATTAGATTAGACTTTTAAATATTCATATTTATATAATAATAAATTATATTATATGCACAGCGCACAAATGAATTTATATTTTAGAAAACATTTTTATCAAATGAATATTATTATAATTATATTATCAATAGTATTGTACACTAAAACTATCATAAAAATAAATAATTTATGAAATTAAATTATAGATAAAAAATTTGAAAACCGTTTTATTTCTTTCACGCACTTAAATAGAATTATAAGGTTTTAAACGTTATAAAGTATTTTCGCAAATTAAATAATGAATATTTACTTAACTTGATCATAATTTAAAAATAACACCGTATTAGAGTAGCGAGTTTCCTTAAATATCTATATGTATAGGTACACATACTTGCCAGATCGATCTGCCAAATCGATTAGTTTATTCGAGACCCTTTTATTGTTACCCATTGTTTTAACTTGTAAGCTACAAGTTACCCGAGAAAAAATATTAGTTGACGTAATTTTTTTCATAGGCATGCTGATACGAGTATATTACAGTATAAAAATTCATACAGAAGGCGATCGCCCATTGATTTTAACGGTGGTAAAAAAATACCATTTTCATGGCAAACGTTTTTAAAGGTAAAGCGCTGTATCTCGCAAGTTACAGTTACACATATTAATCAGAATGCCGTTTTCCGAATTTCATATAATTTCCCGAATCTATAAATATAATAAAATTGTAACTAAGTCGAATCTATACATTAAATATTTTTTGGAAAATCTAATTGAAATAGACATTATTATCGATACAGAGACCGAATCTATAGCTTTTAGAATTTTTGTCTGTCTGTCTGTCTTTCTGTCTGTCTGTTTGTTACCACATCACGAGAAAACCACTTGATGGATTTTGATGAAATTTAGTATGATGATAGCTGGTTATCAGGGTCAACATATAGGATACTTTTTATCGCGGGAAAATATCTCATTTCTGAGAAAAAATACAAAAACTGTATTGTAAGAGTATACTAATATGTAAAACCTAAGAATTTGGTTTTTGGTCATCTGAACACGGGCGGAGCCGCGGGAAATGCTAGTTTCATATAAAAGTGAGTATGACATTCGGTATCGCATCATTTGCGTCTCGCCTCCGACGCCCCGCACGATAGCACAATCTAGAAGCCTTCGTCAGACGACTGTATGGATAAGTACACAGTCGATATATTTACTACGCGATCTTCTCATAATAACTTCATATTCATGGTCTGTAGCATCAACCTTGACATATATATCATCAATGAGCATAGATTATTAATGAAAACAAAATATAAATCAATCTTCTACTCGCAAATAAGAATTAATCGATATCTATATAAGGGTACAAATGAACGGGACATGGAAGAAAAGTACCTTAAATATAGAAAAAATATATCAAATATTACTCAAAAGAAACATTTCTTTATTTCTTAAAATAATAATAACTGCATTCACATATTTTTCAAAAAAATCATTCAGTAATCAAACTAACTAAAAATGCAAATATTAAAATGATTAGGTATTATTTTATCAAACTAATCGTTAGGGTCTTATATAAGGGTAACATCTCTAGAACAAACATTATATCTTAAAAAAATTATAGAAAGTCATGAAATCAGTTAATATATTTTGTAGAAGTCTTAAGATATCTATATTTACTCGTATTCAGCTGTCCTTGGAATACGTGTACCATCACAACCAAAATTTTTACCACACCAAACATTAAACGAAAATCTTACTTGATTGTGAGTTTCACGGACACGGAGAGGATTAACACGAGACCAGTAATGATTATTACGCCTATTGTACATAATATTATTTTTATCATTTTCATATACATAATATGTACTTTTTTGTCTTTATATTGTATATGCATGGAAAAAATATATCAATATGAATCTTAATTATAAGCTAAGTATAATAATACTTAGCTTATAATTAAGATTCATATCCATATATTTTTCCCATGCACATATCGTACATTTTATTTTAGTTAAAAGTATAAACTTTAAAACAAATATATATTCAGATGCAGCTATTTTTAATTCACATTTTTCCATTCGTTGTCGCTGCTACATCGGGTGCGTAATCAATCTTAGCGGTTAGTCGCGTAACGTCAGCGGGCGAGCGACCGCGACTTGCCTCTACCCCGTAATTACTACCTACGACCATTCAACAACCACCCTAATTACAACCACAGCGGCCTTTTTTAAATCATTTTCAACGAGAAAAAACATTAGGATTCACTTCTGAGGTTTTAATTGTTAATGATAGATTAAACAGTTATTTTAACATAGAAAGGCTAATGCCCGATTTCACTAACGTCACCTAAGTTTAAGGGATCCCCTAAACACGGCTAGGGGGCTATTAGGGGACAGTTTCTGTTTCACCGACAGTTAGGGGTCACCTAAATATTAAAAGGCCCCCTAAATTTAGGTGCTCGAAATATGGGCTTAAAAACGATCGTAAAACAAAATTTTATTTAGGGGCTAGTTTAGGGGACTTTTAAGCTAGGGATCCCATACGTAGGTGGTAGCTTATGGGTTGTTGGTGAAATCGGGCATAAGAGTTACATTTTATTTCAAGGTATCTTAGAAGATATGCTATGAAGATATAATAATGAAGTTTACAGTAATAGAAAAAAATCCTTGTTAAAATTTAACATATTTTTTTTTCATAAATATTGGAAATATAATACTAAATTAAAATCATTCTTTTGGCAATATAATATGGACATATGTTACCATAGGTATTCGACTACATACGATATAAGGAAACAGTAAGAGATTTTATTTGTTTACTTTTCCCTACCCTTTATAAAAGAAGCTGTTAACATTTGTTACAATACTTTTTTAGTAACGACTCTATAAACAAAGACAATCAACGCTCAAATATTTACACACATTTTGATTCGTATTTGTCAAAAGCTTTTATTTTTCTTTTCGACGATTGTACATTTGACAAAAATAACATAACAAAAATATTTTTATATATCTAATTATTAACTGTAAAGTCACTTTAACATGCTTTTTTGTGTGAACTAACTTCCTTATTTACTGACATTTTTAGTTACGTACTTACAAAGTTATATTGGCACCACCTAAATACGTTCGATTATTTAAAGTATGCAGCGCTATACGGGATAAACTTTAGATTACTCTCCAGGCACAGTTTTATTTGAATGTTGTCTAATTTTCGTTTTTATGTGAGCTCATTTTGTATCCAATATCATATAATAAACATTACTGTGATTCTCTTTGGAGCTTGCGTGGACGCCACAGTGTTCATTTTTCAATATTACACTCATTCATCATTTAAGTTAGGTGACGAATTTTAGAATACATCCAAAAAAAGTGTCCAGCAACCTTAAGTTCAACGACTTGTCCATATTATGTAGATGAGGACGCAGGTGCTCGTTATGTGGCCCACCGCCACCGCAAAGCGCAAAAACTTCCAGCCAAACGACCCTCACTATTTCAGGTGATACCCCCGTTGTTGTTTTCCTTTTAAGAATCATTATAAAGTATTCCTATTCCCATTCTATAAAATGTACATTAGTCAAAATATAGTTAACATTAAAATAATTTTTGTTAACTACATAGGTTGAATTGTAAACCTATGCTGATGTTCGTAGAAAATATAGTGAAATTCTATACTATTCTGTCATGAACAAATTGTGGCTAATTCGTTCATATATTCTGTATGTCGAAGAATGCTTAAGAAAGTAGATTATAACATAAATCTGAATTTTAAAAATTTAATAATTATAACATACTGTAACAGGTCGTTTTAAACTTTATTCGATTGATCAATCCCTAAGTTTTAACCTTAAGGAGTTTTAGAGTTCGCAATCCATGCTCAGTTTAATAATTCGTTCACACAACATTAAAAATCCTGCAGTGTGTCTTACAATCGACCGATGATATAATGATTCCTTAACATCTTAGCTGCGGCTAATAAATTATAAACTTTCATCTGGTTGGTTGGTTGGCGCTGCTAAGATAATACAGTACAACACAAACATGTGAGATGACATGCTGTACAAAGTATCCACCTCACTGCGCTATAATACAAGTTTTTGAATATCAAAAATATTAATTAGCCTTTTTTTAGAAAATTTATAAACTCGTAAAAAAAAATCGAAAATTTCAAAACGAAGAGTTTCTAAAAAACGTAGAGTTTGCTCAAATATTACACATACAATATTTAAAGATCTCTCAGTCTACACACATTCCTCACTTCTATAAATGATAAAGCTTTCATAAAAACCTACTAGATTCTAATTACAGCAGTCAAATATGAACATAATTCGGAGTCAGTAATGTATGAAAATGTAAATACCAGTTTGATATATGGAAACGTTTCGAGGGTGGGCGGATGACAAATACGTCTATTAGAGGCACCTGACTACAATTTTCTATAACCATAATTATCAAAACGACACATAAAATAATTAAATACACATGAAATTATAGTTTATAAATGTGCGTAATTTATAACATTGGTACACGATAACTTCTTACATCTAGAGTTAGATATATTCGTAGCAAAATGACTAAAGGTGGGATTGTGTTGTTAAGATTTATTTATCATTAATATGTATCACATAATCTATACATATAATAAAATTGTAACTAAGTCGAATCTGTACATTAAATATTTTTTGGAAAATCTAATTAAAATAGACATTATTATCGATACAGAGTCCGAATCTATAGTTTTTAGAATTTTTGTCTGTCTGTCTGTGTGTTACCGCATCACGAGAAAACCACTGGACAGATTTTGATGAAATTTGGTATGATGATAGCTGGTTATCCAGGTCAACATATAAGATACTTTTTACCGCGGGAAAATGTCTAATTTCTGAGAAAAAATACAAAAACTACAATGTAAGAGTATACTAATATGTAAAACCTAAGAATTTGGTTTTTGGTCATCTGAACGCGGGCGGAGCCGCGGGCAATGCTAGTAAATAAATAAAAACAAACGTTATGAAGGAATAATACAACTTTTCCATAGCTAATATTTCATATAGTAACACACTTTACAAGCTTAGTAAATTTAACAAGTAAAGCAAGTAGATATAATACACAAATAATGTTTTTTGCTACACGTCATACACCTACGGCAAAAATGTAGCACCTTATCCTTATAACATTTTGTAGGAACATAATGAGAGCGTGCAAAATATAATTTTAATTTCGCTCGCACGACTTTTTCTCACCTGCCGCTTAATCACAATCACGGCTGAGCGTGATAATCCTGCGGCTCGAGCCATGAATGAAGAGAAAACGACACACGTATTACTTTTTCTTGTTATCTCCTATATGAATGTTTGTCACGCGCTTCCTGAATATTTCAATGTGTTGTTACAAATAGCCCCCATTAGAATTAAATTTCTAAATCTTATTCTCATACTTATTGTTAGCTTTGCATTTTACAATTGTTTTATTTTTTTGTATTTCTAGGACATTTATGTATAATAAATCTCGACCATTTGATGACTTGAAAAAGAAATCGATAGTATTCAGGTGTATATTTTGTATAGGCTTAAACTTTCGTAATATAAGAAATAAAATTGCAACTTTTTATATTCTCGCGTTTCATATGTATGACATTATTTGGCTAAACGTGTAAACCCATAGTGGCAAAATACCTTGTTACCAACATTTCGACTGGGTTGCACCAGCCATAGTCTCAGCCAGTCTGTCGATGTACGGCATCGCCGCCAGTAATCGGAGGTATTTTTTGCATATATTCTCACTTGATCTTTATATTTATTATGACCACGAATCACAAAATTGTCCACGGGTGTGTTGCGGACAACCACGCTACTCGAATTTTTCTATCACCGAATTCCATTAATTAAATTATCAAATGGGAAATATTTTGTCAACTTTTTTCTCTTTTATTAAATAATAGATTTATGAAATACGTCAATCAAAATAAGCTTTCTTCCCCAGTTTTTGGAACTGTCTATCTTTCTTAGAAAAGTTTGTTCATTATTCTTAATGCACAACTTGGGCGGTGTGACGTAACAGACACAGGTGATTTAATTGACAAAGATAAACGAAATCGCTTCTCAATCTATTTAAATATGATGACCATATTGGTTTCTTTTTTATCATTTTATTATACTAGCGGCCTGACCCATTTTTTATTTGAGACCCAAAAGTATTATTTTCCATACCACCTTTCCAACCCCTTTAATACCTGTAGGACACAAAAAAAATATATATACAGAACGTAAATTTCTTATTATGTAGAACGTTAGGTGAAATCTAATATACTTACTGAATTTTCAAGATTATAAAAAGCAATTTAAAGAGGCGATTACAAAAATATATACTACATATTACTTATAAGTTTTAAAATAATTTAAGATAGCATATTGTTAAATAAAGCTACAAAATTCTAACTAGCCAAAACTAAAAAGGTATAGAGAAGCAAATAATTTAGAAAAATAAAAATTGCAGTCGTAGTATCACCAGTCATTTTTAAATGGCATGTTTTGATAAAAAAACAATGCCATCTAGTCATAGTATGTATTTATTTCATAAATAACAATTTATTTTTTCTAGGAATAACAAAATGTTATATTTAAGCAATCATTTTTCGGTTTACGAGTAAGGAGTGGGGATGTCATCTTTACTCCAATCAATCTCGACAGCTTTACCAGTGCGAGCACTTTTTTCGGCTGCGGTCGCAATCTTGCTCACTGCAAGAGTCTGCCAACTAGTCACATCTTGAGGTACCCCATCTGCAATCATGTGGTTTAATATTATAATTAACTAAAAACACACTAAGTCACACATTTGTTTCCCGCTCGAGGACAACGTAAAGTAACACTAAAAAACACAGATGTTAGTCCTAATGCGTTTCAAACAAAATTTGACGCTAAGGACTACCAGCCAACAGAAAAATAAAGCAAACAAGTAGGTAGTCATTACTCATTAAACATTGTTAATACACACATATTGGAAATCTACTAAATCCAAATCTTTTAATTCACTGGTTCAATGACAGCGCACAGTCTAAATTGCTTGAAATTATAAATAAGGATAAATATAAATTATATTTAAGCTTCTGTTTACTGTCCATGAGAATAACCATCGTACTGCTGCGTATTGCTCAATAAAACCTATAAATATTTTGCATCCGCAATTCAAATAAAAATTCTTTGTGAATTCAGTAATAATTCTAGAAAGTTAATGTTAATAATTAATAAATTTCTTACATTGTACAACATCCAGGAAATGTTCTAGTTCGCGTTGGTAAGCAACCTTGAAGCGCGACGGGAACGAATAATAAATAGGGTTCAGTTGGACTCCGCTATGTCCTAATAGAGTTTCGGTGGAGTGAGCTGGCCTTTCGTTTTCAGCCTTGATCATACCTGTAATTAGAATTATTATTTAAGCAACTCTTAATATTAGGCTCAACCATAAAAATTTACTAGAAAATCAGAATTACACAAAAAGTAAGTAATTATTAATCAAAGCTGAATATGTTTATTATTTATTAATTGTAAAATAGTTATATTTATACAAAGAGCATTTTACAATATTTTTAAGCCTAGTGATATGCAGAATAAAACTTATCAATACAAAAAAAAATACAATTACCTTTGTTTCCAAAAACTTCTAATCTCTGGTCGTAGCCGTAAGCACTGTAACGACTGTTGTCGCCAATGGCAATCGCGCCAGACGGGAAGGTCAGGAGGAAAGCAATAGTATCGAAATCATCAATGGCTTTCACTTCGGGAATTAGAGCGGAGGCTGAAGCTTGAACACGAATCGGTAACTCTCCCAACACCCAACACGACATATCAAAATCATGCACCAGGCAATCATGGAAAACTCCACCTGTATTCAATTACATAACTTGTAATTATATTATGATAGGCTTAATAGTTTTATTAGTATTAAAAATTAAAGAATGTTTATTAGGAACTAAAGAGAAATCAACGCACAACTTTAAATCTTAATTTACATATGTATAGAGAAAAAAAATTAGATAATAGTAAAGGACACGCTAAATATGCTAAGTAAAAGAATATCAATTTAAATTGTACAATAAATAGGTAAACTACCTGAAGTCTTTAGATAGTCGACGGAAGGTAAGGGTGAATCTCTCGCTGTTACCTTCAAGATCTGCACATGACCGACTTCTCCATTTCGCACTCTGTCCTTCAATGCCCTATAAGCTGGGTCGAAACGGCGGTTAAAGGCAGCAAACAAAACACGACCTTTAGCTTTAGCTGCTTCGTAGCATTTTTTAGTTTCTTCAATAGTCTCGGCTATGGGCTTTTCGCAAAAAACGTCTTTGTTATTTGCAATGGAGTTGACAACGATGTCATGGTGAGTGTAGGTTGGTGACGCGATGAAAACTACATTGACACTAAAAATATACATTTTTTTCAATAAATATTACTAAGCAAGTCATTTATTTTAAATATAATTTATCTTTATATATATAATTCTTCTGTGAGTGTGTATGTCACTGAACTTCTCTCAAACGACTGGACCGATTTTGATGAAATTTTTTGTGTGTGTTCAAGGGGATCTGGGAATGGTTTAGATTCACAATTTGAATAATAATTTTCATCAAAAAAATATTAAAAAAAGTTTGAAATTTTCAAATTAAAGACGTGTAGACAGGACAACGTCTGTCGGGTCCGCTAGTTTTTTTATATAAACTTACGATTTGTCGTTGAAGACACGTTCTTGCTGTTTTGATGTTAGGAAAGTTACATCATCGCCCAAATTCCAATAAGCTTTAAGTTTCTCAAATATTTCTGTGCGATCATCGACGATATATTTCAAGATGATTCTCGGATTACGGACTATACTACTTAAGTGAATAGAGCCCGCTCTACCAAGACCAAAAATGGCACCAACAACCGGGGAGGTTTTAGGTTTACCCCCCGTGTTAGTTATCACATTGTTGACATATCTGAAAATAAATATTGAATTTAAAAATGATATTATATTGAAGTGAAAAATGATACAGATTACAGATAATATTTTCTGATTATTCATTTACTACATTAAAATAGTATAAATTACATAAAATAATATAAAATACAATAAAATTCAAAAGATAATATTATATAAAATTACGTAACAACCTCATAAAAATCAACGTAACAGTTCCAATGTAACAAATAAATAGGTATTTATTTTAAAACGTAAATAAACTTAAAAATCACCATCTATCTATATGGAGCAATAATTATAAAAATATCTATCTAAATGTATGAAAAATCTTACTCAGTATGTAGGTAGTCAACCTCAGGATATCCACTCTTGAATGTGTAAGGAGAGGGACCAGCAAATTTTTTTGTAGCCATGATCCGCTAATATACTTATTAAAAATTAAATTATTTAAATAAAATCTTACACTACTAAATGGTATTTTCTTTAAGTACACTTAATTAAAACTACACCTCCGATATCAATCGACTGCTCTTTAACACTTACTTGTTTTGCTTACATGTGCATTAGAATTGATAAAATCTTATCGGAATAATGTGCCCTAAGGGTAATAAAACAAATAAAACTATTAAATACATGCAATATACAAATATTTATATTTTCATATCATATTTTTTTATTACCCTAATGTACTCATATGTAACGAGAACATTAGGGTAGAGCGATAAAAAAAATTTTTTTCTTAGTTTGGGGTAGAATTTGTAACTTATAAATAACTGATCTGACGGCTAATTATCTTTGAAAGCATTCAAAAATTGACAAATATAGTTATTTTCTATCCAGCTTTCACGGACTATATTTATATCGTGAATATTTGAATGTTTTCAAAGCTGATCACGCGAGAATTTTTTTTTTTTCATTCAAAGCAAAAATTTAAATAAATTATTTATTTTAAAAATCTGTATTGCCATTCAGCGGGGGAATGCGGCTAACATCCTTGCCACTATTCTACACGGACATGACCTATAAAGTAATAATTAAGTTTGGCTCAGTTAGTAGTGACCCTTATTTTTTTTTTATTATTTTTTTATATATTTTTTTTATTTTTTTTTTTTTTTTTAACGTTGGGAAATGCATTTACGCACGACGTGTGGGACTCACCGGCGTAATACAGCCAGTACTACCCACTAAAACCCAACAAAACCTTCCCCCGTCTTAATGGGGCGTCGCAGGATCGCTTACGCATTCAACTACGACGCCCCGACGGCAGGTCTGTCGAAGCAGACCACCACAACCACGGGGTTGCTCCAAGGTCCACTCTGCTATCAGAGAAGTAGTAGTAGGGGTGGTAGTGACCCTACTTGATGTGCCAGCGGTCGCGGGTACGAGTCCCGCTGGGGGCATTCATTTGTGTGATGAGCACGAATGTTTGTACTCCAGTCATGGGTGTTTATATTTATAATATGTATGTATTTAAAAGTTATATATGTAGTGTATCAACTATCTGGTGTCCATAACACAAGCCTCGTAGCTTACCATGGAACTAGATGGCGCTGTGTGTTAATGTCCCAACATTTATTTACATATTTTGTTTGGTTTATAAAGTTGTCCCAGAAAGTAGTGTCAAGCGGAAGTACAGAGATAGAGCACCCTTGGGGTACCCGAATCATCCCCATGTATAGTTCGCGATTATTCATTGTTTTTGAGTTATGATTTTTTTCTAAACTCTTGAAAATTTACAAACTGAACAACTTAAAAAACTTCTAAAAAAAAAGTAAAAGACTCTTTCGAGATTTTATTTCTGCAACTGAATCTTCATGAGTTGTACTTTTATGATTAAAATACTCAGCTTCGTAACTTTGATGGAAATTATTAAAATGTTAATGTAAAGTGAAAAATTTACGTTCAGTAAATTATGACTTAAATTTTCAACTTTAAATTAAAAATTTAAGCAGGTAAATTCATGGCTCTTAAGTAGGTCTCAAAGACAGTTTATAGTTTTTTTTAGTTTATTCGTTACAAACAAACATACAACTAATCAATTAATCTATTCCCTTTGTAATATTTAAGAAAAGTCTGTATTTGAACTTTTAAAACTTTTAAGTCATTTCTAACTCCAATAAAGGATAGATCATATTAAAATAAATCAAACAAATACTTTGGATGTTAAGGTTAGGCCATTTTTTGCACTAATTGGACTTCGAAAATATCTGATACATGGGTATCTATTTTAAACGAAAACCCCCGTTTAGTTATTTTTTACATTTTAATGCCTGGAAGTCGGTTTTTATTTTTTAATTAATCTATACTAATATTATAAAGAGGTAAAGTTTGTCAGTTTGTAATTTTGTGATTTTGTGACGTTGTAGAGAGTAATCTCTGGATCTACGGAAGCGATTTAGATGAAAGGTAAAAAGATAGTTTGAGACCCTGGGAAGGACGTAGGATACTTTTTATCCCGCAAATCAACCCTTAAGGGTGTAAAAATGGGGATGAAACTTTGTATTGGGAAGTAAGCTAGGGACGAAATCATCGTCGTCGTCGTGAGTCGCAGGTTTTGCAATAATTTAAATACGTTTATCACTAACACTTCATATATTATAAAAATAACTATGTTATATTTCGATAAAATGTACTTAAATAGCTATAAAAAGTGCGTAATCTATTCTGTTATCTTTTTACATCTTTTATAGGGGGTACTGATAGTGATAAAGATATGATAGCATTAGATATAATGGTCAGCATGAAATATTATGATATGGTCAACACTACGATCGCGATACATTTACAAATGACATGTACGAAACAAATTAAAACGAAAGTCACCTGTCCCAACGATTGCCTATTTAGGATACTAATAAACTTTTCTTCTCTTTAGACTAGCGTTAACAAGGTTCTTAATATCACACCCCACTTGTATGGATGATCCAAGCGACTGATTCAAGAATTTATGTACTGAGAACATAAAACGCGTTACGATGTGGAGTTAGTTATACTAATAGAAACTAGTTTAAACCGAAACTCTTCCTCAATTTATCTCACTTAATCGTAACACATCCAGTGTATTGTCGCCTAAGCTATTTAAAAAGAAAATGCCAGATATAATTTTGCAAATCTTCACGTCTCTATCATTCTGTTTTTTTGTATATCTAATTTCTCCTAAGAAGCAAAAATTATTTGTCACAATTGCTAATTTTTCAGTCAAGTGTCGCCAATACCCTGTCCACTGGTATTAGACAAACATAATATAATACGTACGGACAGATAGTTTAGATATCTTAATCATAATGTATCTGATAAACATCTACCTTACTAATTTTAAGTACTAAATAAAAACTGATAATACAAGCGAGGAGCACATCCCTTGCTAGTGGCCTTCAACTATAACCACTTGGGTGGTTCTCGCTAAACTGGTACCTGATCTGATATTATTAATTTACATTACTGATTTAATATCTCTGATGTCGTGCTGACATATGCTTATAACTTTGAATCTCATCTCAAATCTACTTTGTCCAAATCCTTTCTTTAATTCAATTCAATTTTTATTCTGTGGCTCATATGCGTACCATTTGGGCACAGTTAAATATGCCAATGTCGTGTAAAATGAAACCCTCTTGTTATGACAAATTAACTATCTTAATAATTAAGCAAATATTTTGCGACTACCCTACGGTACAAGTGAGCTTTACAATTTCAAGTGATAACCTTGTTATATATTTATAAATTTTAACCCTAGAGACACTTCCTTCTCCACTTTGCATATTTAATAGTACCTACTTAGATTTACAAAGATCTAAGCAAGCAGGCAGTGGTAGCCCAGTGGTAACACGCTCGCTTGGGAAACCCAGTGAAGCGGGTTCAAATCCCGGGTCTCGCACCTCTGATATTTTCACGTGCGAATCATCTCTAGCATGATTACCACTTGCCTTACGGTAAAGAAAAACATCGTGAGGAAACCTGCATGTCAAGGAGAATCTAGCAAGTTTTCGAAAGACTGAAGTTCACCAACCCGCACTTGGCCAGCGTGGTGGACTATGGCCTGATCCCCCTCGTATTGAAGGGAGGCCCTTGCCAAGCAGTGGAATGTTAAAACGGGCTGAATACAAGCAAGCATCCGTAGGTATATGGGAAAATAATATATTTATTTTTTATTAAAAAATAAAGAAATTATATACTTCATTCCTATAAATGCATAATACTTTCTTAGATTTAGGTTTTATTTACAGCAATCATAGTGATGGTAGAGACCATGTCTCTCATGTCATGTAAAACATTCGAAACGTCGAGAACCAAAATCTATCTATACATATAATAAAATTCTAACTAAGCCGATTCTGTAGATTAAATATTTTTTGGAAAATCTAATTGAAATAGATATTATTATCGATACAGAGTCCGAATCTATAGTTTTTAGAATTTTTGTCTGTCTGTCTGTCTGTTACCGCATCACGAGAAAACCACTGGACAGATTTTAATGAAATTTGGTATGATAATAACTGGTTATTCGGGTCAACATATAGGATACTTTTTACCGCTGGAAAATATCTCATTGATGAGAAAAAATACAAAAACTGCATTGTAAGAGTATACTGATATGTAAAACCTAAGAATTTGGTTTTTGGTCATCTGAACGCGGGCAATGCTAGTTCAAAATAAATCCGCGAAATAATCCAAAAAAATACCAGGTAGTTGATACACTACACATACATATATAATAAACTGGAATACAAACATTCATGATCATCACACAAATGAATGGATCCAGCGGGAGTCGAACCCGTGACCGTTGGCACAACAAGTAGGATTACTACAAACTGAGCCATACGTGTCATCCAAAAAAATAGTTTTATTTAAGGTACTATAGTACACTGTGATAATAACCTAATACACTCTAATTAATGACTCAATTAAAAAGCCAAGAACGATTTATGTGCAAACATTTAATTCTTTTAATGTAATTAAATATTCAAATATGAAACAAACATACGGCATACACGATAACCTTAACCCTACAATTATATATCCCGTGGAAAAGTATTTAAAGTTACATGATTTTATCTAGTAACTTATAATATAATAACAACATAAATTATTATGATTTGATAAAAACAAACATAATAATGGAATAATCTATACATAGATATAATAAAACTGTAGAGGTCGAATGTTTGTACATAGACATTTTCAAATCATTAATAGACTATCTCGCTAACGGCAATCAATCGCTAGTATTTAATATCAAAGTATTGGTGGTTCAAAACTCAGAAGCAAACGGCATCACTTTATTACTTAAAACCTTTTTAAAACCATTTTTTTTCACGTAATATATGTATGTACGAGTATATTGTACAATGTACATAATCATGCATCATAGATATTTTAGATATGTACTGTATTTATTTACTAGCTTTTG